ATATATATATATATTATCATTTGTTTTGTTATATTTCTATTTAGCTTTTTCATGTCAGTTTTAGTAATTGTATTGCTTAAAAACAAAAAAGAAACTAACCGAAATAAAATCCCTTCTAAGTTTGAGTTTTTTTCATCTAATAATTGCATTTTGTTTTATTTCAGCTTCATTTCAATGAACGAAAATTATTTTTAATTGAATTTAGTAAACGGTGACAACACTGCAAGCGCGGATGAGTCGGAAGATTTCCAGTGAATAACAAATGTTCATTTTTGTCCGAACTACACTTTTTAAAAATGTCTATTTTAACTGCTCTGATTGAACAAACATGTTTTATTCAGGGTCATCCGTTCATGGAGTCTCTGACCGAGAACCGGCCCTTACTGTGGAGCATCGCTATATCCGGCCTCGCTATAGTAGGGCTGCTGACGGGATCTTCGCCGGAATTCAATGAACAGTTTGCCTTAGTGGATATTCCAACAGAGGTACGAATTCAGGACACCGCACTATTCACAAACTGTTGCTTACTGCATGCTTAAAGGAACACTCAGACTTTTTTGGACTTATTAGCTTATTCACTGTATCCTCCAGAGTTAGAGAAGTCCATCCATACCTTTTTCATCTCAGTGCGTGCTGTAAGTCTGTCTGTCTGCACCCACCGCTAGCCTAGCTTAGCACAAAGACTGGATGTAAATGGCTACAGCTAGCATACTAATCCCAACAAGAGACAAAATAAAGCAAACATTTTCCTATTTACATGTTGTCATTTGTATAGTCATAGAGTGTACAAATCACCAGGTCATTTGAGACACAGATTTCTTTTTAAAGGGTTAGTTCACCCAAAAATGAAAATTAAGTCATTAATTACTCACCCCCATGCTGTACCAACCCCGTAAGACCTTCGTTCGTCTTCGGAACACAAATGAAGATATTTTTGATTAAATTTGAGAGCTGTATAACTACCACATAGACTTCCGCGACTGGCTCTTGACGGCCCAGAAAGTCAATAAAGAAAATGTTTAAATATCCCAAGTGACTACCGTGGCTCAACTATATGTTTATCAAGCGACACGAATACTTTTTGTGCGAAAAAACAAACAAAAATAACGACTTTATTCGACTATTCCTTTTCTTCCTTGTTGGCCTGAAACGAGACTTCCTTAGATTTCCACGACGCATGCGCGAGAACTGAACTGAAGTAGTTAAAGGAGATCGCAATTCTCGCGCATGCGTCGTGGAAATCTAAGGAAGTCTCGTTTCAGGCCAACAAGGAAGAAAAGGAATAGTCGAATAAAAACTTCATTTTTGTTTGCTTTTTCGCACAAAAAGTATTCTCGTCACTTGATAAACTTATAGTTGAGCCACGGTAGTCACATGGAATATTTAAACATATTTTAATATTTTTCTTAATTGACTTTCTGGGCTGTCAAGAGCCAGTCCCGGAAGTCTATGTGGTAGTTATACAGCTCTCAAATTTAATCAAAAATATCTTTATTTGTGTTCCGAAGATGAACGAAGGTCTTACGGGGTTGGTACAGCATGGGGGTGAGTAATTAATGACTTAATTTTCATTTTTGGGTGAACTAACCCTTTAACCGTAGAAATTTCGGAAACTATATTCTAAGAAGGCGAAGCACTAAAAGATGTCTGTGTCTCAAATGACCTTGTGATTTGTACACTCTGTGCCTATACAAATCACAACATGTAAATAGGAAAATGTTTGCGTTATTTTGTCTCTTATTAGGATTAGTATGCTAGCTGTAGCCATTTATATCCAGTCTTTGTGCTAAGCTAGGCTAGCGGTGGGTACGTCAAACAGAGTTACAGCACGCACAGAGATGAAACAGGCATGTATGGACTTATCGAACTCTGGGGGATACGGTGAATAAGCTAAAGTCCAAAAAATTTGGAGTGTTCCTTTAACAATTTCCATTGATATGCTAGCATGTCACTACAACAGTGTTGTGACATATTAGTATTGTGATTTAAAATTGTTTTTGGATACTGTTGTAATTCCATCCTCGATCCAAAATGTTTCCATAAATCATGAATTTTTGCGTTTCGAACATGCGCTTACAGTGTAAACATAAAGGCCTGTTTGGCTGATGACCGATAAAAACATTTACAGCCAATCAGAATCCATTCTGCTGTAACAAGCTCAAGCATTAAAAGCAGCAAAGGACAAAACTCAGCGTGCGCTTATAATAAACAAAGTTATTGTATGGTGGTGTGGATGCCAATATAGTTAAGCTATCTTCATAGTTATCGTTCTTTGTGTGAACGGGCCTAAAAATTTTATTTTATTTTACTTGGAGTGTATGTGAAATAGTAAGAAATTATAGTAAAATAGACTTCTATGATTAATTTGATGCTATGAACATGTATAGTTTACAAGAGAGCATAGAGATAGTGTGATTGTATCCTGCACAGTTATTGTGGAATCATAAATAATTCAGTTTACATCGAATAAACATGATCAGATGATTCATCAATAATCACAACAGGCTTAATAAATGTATTCTTTAAAAAACCCATATGAAATAGTTTTCCAACCTGGGTACCTTTTGACTTTTCAGCATATTATTTGAGACATGCTAATCCAATTCTTGCATGGCATGCTATATACTGGGTTTCCCCGGGTCTTCAAAAGGTCTTAAAGTCTTAATTCACCCTTCCACAAATTAAGGCCATAACAAAGTCTTCAATCAGAGTAGAAAGGCTTAAATTGATATATTGCAAATAAAATGTCTTCCTCAGTATTTTTCTTTTTTATATATATAATACAGATATCTAAACATTCCTAAATCAAGATGCATTTCTTTGAGATGTAAAATGAATAAATGAAGTCTTGGTTTCACATAAATCAAGAACTAATATTTGTCAATGGGGTTTTGAATTAAGGTGATTTTTCTGAGTCCATTGGCAGATATTTCTTCTTGTTTTAATCATAAACTCACTTCATTTTAGATTTCTCATCTTATGTAATTTTGCTTCTCCGGTAAACGTCTCTTGATTTAAGACTAGGAAAAAAAAAAGACAAATACTGAGGAAGAACAGCACTTTGTAGTGTGATCAGATGGTTCAGTGTTTGGGAACAGAGCTATTCAAGCCTTAAAACTAAACTATCCACCTTTTATAAATATAGTATGCAAATGGGTATTTGACCTCTTATCAGTGGCGTACATGTGTATCTATTTACAATGAATATGTTTTTATGTTCTTTGTCTCTTCAGTTCAAGTTAGTAATAGCCCAGGTCCTGGTTGTGGATTTTGTCGCCGCCCTGCTGGTGGACAGAGTTCTGCAGTTTCTGCTGGGCAAAGGAACCCTGAGGTTGCCTAAATGAACTGTTATTGCCAACAGTCACCAAAGCAGCTGCTGCCCCTCGTGACCAGACTGTGAACGGGCTTTACAGGAACACGGGACTCGGCGAGATGCGAACGGCGGGCGTGAAACTCAATACTGTAACACCCCCCCAGTGTTTCCTTTTCCTCCCTGTCCCTGTCTTAATACTTTAGCTTCATTTTCTTTCTACTGACATCTTTAACCACCCCCTCCGCTCTGAAGGCCAAGAAAACTACAGTATTGTGTTGAGAGTGAGAGTGTGTTTCAGTGCGGGTGAAGCTATGACAGGGGCGTACTGAAGAAGTGTTTCTCTTCTTTTGTTTTGTTTTCAACATTTTGTAAAAAGACAAACCTCAAAGATTATAAATGACCAAAAAAACTCTTGTTGTGGTGTTTTATTTGCACGACTCTTTCTCGTCGAGACTTTTGGCAAATTAGAATGAGAAACTAAGTTAATTTTGTACTGCTTTGGTTTAACAGCAACATATGATGATACATGTGACAAACTAAATGAAACATTATTTCACTTGAAGCTTTAAAGCACATGTAAGAATGTAAATGATGAAACGATATGAATGCACAACATTGGTATGCTGTTTTCCATATCAAATCTTCACTTCAACAGGAATAGTGTGAAAGAAGGGCTTGAAACCTTTTTTTTTTTTTAAGGTCAATGAAAGGAGGGCATTTTGAAGTGTAAAGATCACACTGGTATATTTTAAATGTATTTTTTATGCAATAACTCAAAAATAACCATGGAGTAAAAATTTCAAACAGGAAAATTATAACATTTTTAAAAAAAATAAAGAAAAATAGTCATGACAGAATGGGTTGCAAATGTAGCCTAAATCAGTGCTTCTCAAACTTTTGATTCAAAGGCCTTTTTTGTCCAGTCCCACATTTAGGGTAAGAGATGTGTATATATATATATATATATATATATATATATATATATATTTTATAAAATATTTATATATATATATATATATACAGTATATGTGTGTGTGTATTACATTTATTAATTTAGCAGATGCTTTATACTTATACTGGTGGCAGAATGCTTTGATGAACATGAAAGTGAAGTTGAACAGCTCCTATGGCCTGCACAGTCACCAGATCTGGATATTAGAGCCTCTTTTGGGTGTTTTGAAGGACCGAATCAGGAAACATTTTCTTCCACCAGCATCACATCGTGTACATGACACTGTTCTTGAAGAGGTGTGGCTCTAAATCTCTATGGCCACTGGGATGGACTTAAGTGTCTGTCATTCCCAAGATGAATGGTTATTTGTTGGCTGCAAAAGAAGGGCCTATACCATAGGCTACTAACACATTATTGCTGTCTAAAACCATGGTGTTTTAGTTTCATTGTCCAACCCCATAACTTAAAAATATATTTGTTTGTTAAATTGTTATTATCTTTATTCTCAGAATAACTTCAGGTTGAGCTTTATTAATGCAATAGACAATTTTGTTTAAAATGTGAGACTTAGGAATGAGATTATTTAGCCTACTTGTGTGTCTAAATGATTGTAGCCTACATATTGTTACAATTTAAAATAATATTTATCAAACATACATAATATGTAACCAAAACATAGCACGCACTCAACGCTAATTTAACGTGACTACAGTTCCCAAGAACCATCGCGGTCGAAATGAAAATGGGCGGGGCATATTTCACACTGTCTGCGCGCGGTCTTTGAAAGAAAATGGCGGAGCTTCAGAAAGAAGGATTTGAGCCGTAAGTGTTTTATCATTTACAACACGGGAAATAGATATGGAAGCTTGTTTCCGCCATTGAATAAAAAATATAATAAAGAATTGTGACTTTTTATCTTACAATTCTGACTTTTTTTCTCACAATTCTGACTTTTTTTCTCACAATTGCGAGTTTATATCTCACAATTCTGACTTTATTTCTCAGAATTGCGTGATATAAAGTCGCAATTGCGAGTTATAAAGTCAGAATTGTGTGTTATAAAGTCAGAATTGCGAGATATAAAGTCAGAATTGCGAGATATAAAGTCAGAATTGCGTGATATAAAGTCAGAATTGTGAGATATAAAGTCGCAATTCTGAGAAAAAAAGACAGAAGTGTGACTTTTTTTCTCACAATTGCGAGTTTACATCTCGCAATTCTGACTTTATAACACATAATTGCGAGTTTATATGTCGAAATTCTGACATCTTTTCTCAGAATTGTGAGATATAAACTCGCAATTGCGACTTATTAGGCCAATTCTTTTTCCCCCATCAGAAGAGTTTAAATCTCACAATTCTGACTTTATATCATGCAATTCTGACTTTAAAACTCGCAATTGCGACTTTATATCACGCAATTCTGACTTTATAACTCGCATTGCGACTTTATATCACGCAATTCTGACTTTATGTCTCGCAATTCTGACTTTATAACTCGCAATTGCGACTTTATATCACGCAATTCTGACTTTTTATCTCGCAATTCTGACTTTATAACTCGCAATTGCGACTTTATATCTCGCAATTCTGACTTTTTATCTCGCAATTGCGACTTTATATCACGCAATTCTGACTTTATATCTCGCAATTCTGACTTTATATCTCGCAATTCTGACTTTATAACTCGCAATTGCGACTTTATATCACGCAATTCGGACTTTTTATCTCGCAATTGTGAGAAAAAAAGTCAGAATTGTGAGATAAAAAGTCGCAATTATTTATTTAATTTTTTTATTCAGTGGCGGAAACAAGCTTCCATAAATAGATGCACTAACAAAATGTTAATAGTAATTTCTGCATGAGGGATTCCCTTGAATAAAGCACAACATTTAGAACAGCGTTTAACGCGATTGATGTTGTTTACAGCTAAGTTAAACTGGCCATGATACTTGATTAGTCAGTGGACAAATACTGATAACTAAAAATACTTTTCAATGTTTTGAATGCAACAAACAAGGTTGTGTAGTTTGTTCGGTGTGCTATAATCTGTGTGACCATTTAATCTCTCACAGATGTGATGCCAGCAACTTCGACACCGGGGTAAATCTGTTTTATCTTCTTTTTTAATGTAACGTTAAAATATTTGCGATAAGGAACTAAATAAAATACGTTTATTCAGCAAATCTGCATATTGGAATGATTTCTGAAAGATCACGTGACACTTAAGTAATGATGCAAAAAATTCGTCTTTGACATCACAGGAATAAATATAATATCAACATAGAAAACATTTTCTTTAAATTGTATTTAATATTTCACAATTTAATATTTTTCTGCCGTATTTTTGATCACATAAATGCAAAAGTTGTCATCTTGCATTAACACAGAATCCAAAGTCTGTATGTATTCACATATTTGTTGTGACATTTTGACTAGTCAACCTCTGTCTTATGGATATAATATTGTGTTTCTATGTCATCATCTCAACTAGGTCTCAGAAGTGTCTCATGGAGTCAAACGTCCTCGTGACAGTAACCACATCTCAGGTCCTCCTCAGAAGTCTCCTTGCACATCACCTGCTCCTGCAGCAATGCAGCATTCAGAAGAGGAACGCCCAGAGGACTCGAAGATTGAGGATGGCATGAGGGAAACTGCTCCTGAACTGAGCCCTCGCTCGCGGAGGAAATCCTTGAGGAGATCCTCAAGAGGCAGACGATCCCTGCCGGCCTTCCTCGGCTCCTCACAGCGTGAGTGCTGAGCCCCCAAAGCCTTTCACTGGATGTCGTTTAGGATTGTGTTGACTGTCTCTTTGTGTCTTTCAGCCCTGTGTGAAACCATCAGTCTGTCTTTACCTGATAACGAGAGGCTGGATATGCTAATTAAAGCTGCTATGCAGGTCTGTAACATGCATATTTGTTATTGGGAAGGTGAATATGCTTTACTGGCTTTTTCCTTAAACCTTTTAATGTCCCTGACTGTACATAGAGTACAGTGAAGAGGGTGAAAAACAGTCTGTACACTGTTCCTGGTGTTGATACAGAGACACTTCAGACTCAAGGTAAGTTGGAGCCAGTCATTCATGTAAGTGTTAAGTTCTCTTTAACATCTTTCAGGAAATCTCACTAAGATGTTTTTGCTTTTAAACAAAAAGAGTTGGAAATGATACAGCTACACACACTGCCGTTTCTCATGCTCATCAAGACTGCATTTATTTGATCAAAAATAAAGGAAAATTTTTACAAAAATGATCTTCATTTAAAATACCTGTTTTCTATGTTAATATTTGAAGAGTTCAGATGCAAAAGCCTCTAAATGCCATTTGAAATTTTCATCTTTAATGATCATTTTTATCAAACTTGTATATTTAAGTTCAGTATTTTCACTTAAATGGCAATGATAATTACCTATTAATTGTTATTTAAGTGAAATTACTGAACTTAAATATACAAGCTTGATAAAAATCATCATTAAAGAAGAAAATTTCAAATGGCATTTAGAGGCTTTTGCATCTGAACTCTTCATTTGTTTATTTAAAATGTCATTTATTCCTGTGATCAAAGCTGAATTTATCATCACCATAACTCCAGTCTTCAGAAATCATTCTAAAATGATGATTTGATACTCATTTCTGATTAGTATCAATGTTGAAAACAGTTGAATTGCTTGATTCATATTTCTCTGGAAAACGTGATGCTTTTTATCAGTATTTTTCTTTGATTAATAGTTCAGAAGAACAGAATTTATTTGATATACTGTAGTAACCTTTTGTAACATTGCACATGTCTTTTCTGTGACTTTTGATCAATTGAATGTATCCTTCCTGAATAAACGTTTTAATTTCTTTTAAAAAAAATGATTCTTAATGACCCCAAACATTTGAATGTTAAGCGCCGTACACACCGGAACGAATATCGGTGCACGTTATTCGGCAGCGTTTTTCAACGTGTTTTTTGTGTTCACACCATAGACTGTAAAAAATATGGACAAAGCGTCTGTGACGTCACCCATAAACTCTCTGAAGAACGGGTTTGAAGCTGTTTATGGGGGGGTATGGGTGTTAGTGCCACCAACTTCAAAGGCTCCAAACACGTGAGCAAAAGCACCAATCTCATTGGTCGGATAGTATTTGACGCGGTGCGTCAAACTAAAAAGAACTAACCCGAGGCGTTTTTTAAAAATGACGTTTTTACACGTGGCGTTTTCCGTGTCGGTGCGCGCACTCGCATTAAAGGCCATTGCACACTGAGTACGAAATTTTTGCATGCGTTTTTTCCGTGTTTATCAGCCTAAAAATTCGTCACGCAAATTCGAGTCCGATGCGTATTTATTGAACCTTTGCGGGGGGAAAATACGGAATGGATTCGTCAAGCTGTGAGGATGATTTTGTCGTCTCTTATTGAAAAGAGAAGAAAGAGAAAATATTACGTCCATCCAATCCTGAAATTGCGCCGAGAGGAAGCACCTCCTTATCAAGGAAATCGAATCGAATTGTGAAATTTGTGTCAATACCCAGCCCAATTTGGTGAATATCACGCGTGAAATTCGTCATTCGGTGTAAACAGGCCCCTAGCGTAATTGGAAAAAGTGTAACACATTTTGACTGATATTTCCCAAAAGTAATGGGCTATATGCACGCATAAATTCCGCATTTGACGTAAGGATGCTCGTCCATTTCCGGTTGTGTAGATTAAAGCGGAGGAAAACCGAGGAAAACGGAATTATGGCAGAGTCTTCAAAATTTACTGTCCTCCCGTCTTTGAAATGAAACGTACATACGTTTAGATGTAATTTTATATATAGTTATATTGATTTAATATAATTTTAAAAAGAAGCATAAACACAACGAGGGGTGTCTGTTTTATCTGTTTTTGTGACTAACGTTTCTTTATTATAACCATGGAGTATAAAATTCAATATAAATTCTCGGTATTACATTGGACTCTACGATCGGCGGAAGTTATCGAGCATCTTAATCCTTCACCGGAAATACCGCCGTGCATAGAGCCCATTGTTGCAAATTAGCCAGGTAGATAACATTGTCTTGAAACAGAATTTAATACATAAAATGCATTTACGTTTTATGTCAAAAATCCACTTCATGATGTTTATATGAACATCTTTGACTTCCAGTTGAGTCTTTGCATGAAGAATGGGACAGTCTGGCTAAAGACATTAGCCGAGACACTCAGAATTCACTCCCAACTACTGAGAGGTAAAAGTCAGTTTTTCTGGGTTTCGGTTAAAATTAATAATTAATCAGTATTGCTTCAATCCTGGAGCACACTCATTTATTAAATGTCTCTCTCTATGCAGTGACCCCGTTGTTAACATGACCACTGCGCGCATTCAGGAGGACATTAACAGGTAATTCTCCATCTGCTCCCGTCAGTCCGAGACGCTACAGTGGGAGTCAAATTCGTTTCATGACTATAGCTGTTAATGGCCATCATGTGCTTATGAAGGTTACAGGCTGAAAGTATGGCATGGGAGTCGCTATTGAACAAACATCGGACCAAAGCTGACGACCTGGACAAGTGAGCACAACTACACACACGCACAGCACATGCATGGATACGGAAATGTCATTTAGCCGTGCATCTCTGTCCCGTTGCAGATGTGTGGAGCGGGGAGAAGAGAAGGGCGTGCCGCTGGACCCATCATGCTTTGCCAAGTCTTCACAGAGTCAACTCATTCTGAACAAACCCGACTACAAGGCAGTACTCACGGGACAGCAAAAACTGCTCCGAAACATGGAGCTAGTGGTGAGGCCAGGACGTTTAAGACACACAAATGCAAAAGTATTCAGAACCAGTAACAGGAAGTGAAATCAGTTGGGCCAGTAGTTCTGCCACCACTTTCTCTAGCATTATCACATTTTAAGTTTGCTACAAATTAGGGCTGTCAAACGATTAATCGCGATTAATCACATCCAAAATAAAAGTTTGTGTTTACATAATATATGTGGGTGCACTGTGTATAATTTTTTTATATATATAAATACACACACATGCTTGAAATATTTTCATGTATATAGATTTATATATAATTTATTATATAAAAATATAAGTATTTTATATATAAATAATATTTTTTCTTAAATATTCATGCATGTGTGTGTATTTATGTATATGTGTATATATATATATATATATAATTATACACAGTGCACCCACATATATTATGTAAACACAAACTTTTATTTTGGATGTGATTAATCGTTTGACAGCCCTTCTACAAATATTTAAATTTTTCATTAAATGTTAAGTTTCCTTTAAAATTTGTGTTTATCTGTACTAAAAGTGCCCAAACATTTAGCACAAAGGGCCTAGAATAAAATTGAGGACTGTGCCACCTCTGCAATTCACGATTTAGGCCTAATATATGTATGACAAAAAGAGTATTACATTTTTGTGGCATATTTTAATGTTGTCCACAATGTAGACACAACATGGTTCTCAACTAGTTTTGAGTTGGACATGACAATTGGTTTGTTAAATAAATGTGAATCATTAGATTGATGCAAAGTAACTGATACCTGATGATCTGAGTCCATCAAAGCTTTCACAGTCCTTTACCTATTCCTGGATTGAATATTTAATTCAGTAACTTTAGGCAGTTTTGATTGTTTTTTTGCTGTGTTTTGATCAGGAGATGCTGTACCTTTTCAGAAGTTGTCACAGCGCCTTCTACCGTATAACAGTGGAAATGCGGAAAGCCGGACAAATATGTCAAAATGGATCTGGGCCCGTATTCATAAAGAATCTTAATGCAAAGAGTAGCTACTAGGGACAAAATTCTAAGAAAATTCTTAGAAATGTGGGCATTTATTCTTTAAATTAAAGAAAAAATCAAATCCTATTAAAGAAAGACGGAATGCAGAAAGTATCTTAAGTTAACTCTTAAAGGGTTAGTTCACCCAAAAATGAAATTCTGTCAGTATTTACTCACCCTCATGCTGTACCAACCCCGTAAGACCTTCGTTCATCATCGGAACACAAATTAAGATATTTTTGATGAAATCTGAGAGCTGGATCACTCCTGCATACTAGTCCATAGGCTGAATGAAACTTGCCGGCCTTGAAAAGTTATTAAAGACATCGTTAAAATAGTCCAAGTGACTACAGTGGCTCAATTTTAACTTTATCAAGCGACAAGAAAACTCTTTGTTCGCAAAAACAAACAAAAATAACGACTTTATTTCAACTCTTCACTTCCTTCTCCATGGGCCTCTAGTCAGTTAACGTAGTGTGATTGCGTAGAGCTACGTCACACGCAGGCTCACTATTGGCCAACGCTGGTCATGTGTGTGATGCGTGTGACGTACAATAACAGATCATACGCTGTTAAACTAGTAACTTGACTCGCGCAGAGGGAGAAATAAACGAAAAGTTGAAATAAAGTCGTTATTTTTGTTGTTTTTTGCGCACAAAAAGTGTTCTCGTCGTTAGATAAAGTTAAGATTGAGCCACTGTAGCTACTTGGACTATTTTAACGATGTCTTTAATGACTTTTCGGGGAACAAGTTTCAATCCCTTAAGAAGCCTATGGAGGAGTGATCCAGCTCTCAGATTTCATCAAAAATGTCTTAATTTGTGTTCCGAAGATGAACGAAGGTCTTACGGGGTTGGTCTTTTTCTTACTCAGAGTTGCTCTCAGATCGGTCTTGAATAAGCTAAGACTCCTACGTAAAAGTTTTTAAGCTAAATTAAGAGTTATGAATAATGGCCCTGGCTTATAAGAGCCATTTTAGGCTCTACTGATCATGCTGTATTTTCGTCGTCGCACCCAAGCAAATATAATGCTGCATTTTCTACTATACATAATGCATCTAAATGTAGAGTTCTCAGAAACATTTTTTTAATGTACAGTTTAAAAATGAGTACAGTAAGAGAATTGGTTACTTTTTCTTCTCTCTTTTTGTGAGAGCTGCTGTCATGTGCAGTTGTGTTTCTTCACAGATGGACTCTCACTGTTGCATAATGAGGGAGTTACTGTCTTTCCATGAGACGTCTCAGCTGCTGCTAAAGGAGACCAGCACCAGACTAGGTGAGATTATGTATTTCAGTGGAATAGCTCAATAATTCACAGACAGACACTATCCTTCAACAGTTTTTGGGCAGTAAGGCTTTTGTTTAAAGATTTCAAGTTTTCAACTGATAATAATCAGAAATGTTTCTTGAGCATCAAGTCATATTAGAGTGATTTCTGAAGAATCATGTGACACTGAAGACTGGAGTAATGATGCTGAAAATTCGGCTTTGATCACAGGAATACATTACATTTTAAAATGTATATACATGGAAAACTATGGAAGCTTGTTTCCGCCACAGAATGAAAAATAAAAAAGGTGATTGCGACTTTTATCTCACAATTCTGACTTTTTTCCTCTCACAATCGCGAGGTTACGTCTCGCAATTCTGACTTTATAACTGTGAATTGCAAGATATGAAGTCAGAAATGCATGATATAAAGTCAAAATTGCGTGTTGTAAAGTCAGAATTGTGAGATATAAACTATTCTGAGGGGGAAAAAAAGTTAGTCTTTTTTTTCCCCCTTAGAATTGGCCTGATAACTCACAACTGCTAGTTTATATCTCAATTCTGAGAAAAGATGTCAGAATTTCAAGATATATAAACTAGCAATTATGTGTTATAAAGTCAGAATTGCGAGATGTAAACTCACAATTGTGAGGAAAAAAAAGTATAATTCTGAGTTAAAGTCTTTGTGACTTTATTTCTCAGAATTGCGACTTTATTTCTCAGAATTGCGACTTTATTTCTCAGAATTGCGACTTTATTTCTACGAATTGTGACTTTATTTCTCAGAATTGTGACTATTTCTCAGAATTGTGACTATTTCTACGAATTACGACTTTATTTCTTACGAATTGCGACTTTATTTCTCAGAATTGCGACTTTATTTCTACGAATTGCAACTTTATTTCTCAGAATTGCGACTTTTATTTCTCAGAATTGCGAATTTTATTTCTCAGAATTGCGACTTTATTTCTCAGAATTGCGTCTTTATTTCTCAGAATTGCGACTTTTATTTCTCAGAATTGCAACTTTATTTCTACGAATTGCGACTTTATTTCTCAGAATTGCGATTTTATTTCTCAGAATTGCGACTTTATTTCTACGAATTGCGACTTTATTTCTCAGAATTGCAACTTTATTTCTCAGAATTGCGACTTTATTTCTACGAATTGCAACTTTATTTCTCAGAATTGCGACTTTATTTCTACGAATTGCATCTTTATTTCTCAGAATTGCAACTTTATTTCTCAGAATTGCGACTTTATTTCTCAGAATTGCGACTTTATTTCTACGAATTGCGGCTTTATTTCTCAGAATTGCGATTTTATTTCTACGAATTGCGACTTTATTTCTACGAATTGCGACTTTATTTCTCAGAATTGCGGCCTTATTTCTCAGAATTGCGACTATTTCTCAGAATTGCGACTTTACATCTCGCAATTGTGCCTTTATTTCTGAATTTTAGTTCTGACTCACAATTTAAAAAAAAGTATTCAGTGGTGGAAACAAGCTTCCATATAAAACAGTTATTTTAAATGGTATTATTATTTCACAATATATTATTATATTATTATTTCACAATGCAGCCGTGGTGAGCATGAGACATGAGCATGACTTTGTTGATCACAAGATAAAAATCAAGTGCAAAAAAGCAGCAACATCTAATGAAGTGTTAAATTCTAATGAAAAATAACACCACTTACAAGAGCTGCAGGATTTTTTGTAATTAAAGATCTAGATCATGAGGAATAAGATCACTTGGGCATTTGAATTGAAATGTTTTATTTATTAATCGCGCAGCTCTACTACTTAAAAGTAAAATCACATGAAATGCAATTCTGCCTTGATAGTGCCAGGTGATTTTACTGTAATTCAGAAGTGTGTGAAATGAGTTAATGAACATTGGGCTTTCCCCCTCACAGCTTCCAGGGCAGGATTTCAGAATCTCCCTTCATCTCCAGTCAGACAGCTGATAAAAGGAGGCATATCTAGCGTCTCCTCCTAGTTTACAGTGCCGTGATGACTCCCATAGGAAAGCTCTGTGATCAGATATGACCATTTTGGTAATGCATTAATAACTTTTTAATGTAACATTCTACTTTTTCCCTATAACAATTTTTTTACCCAGTAATATGGACAAAAATATAGATGAATTTTCAATATTTGATTGTCTTTAATATCTGTGGCTGTTTAGTTTAATGTCCTCCAGTGTGTGTGTGTGTGTGAGAGAGAGAAAGTTTCAGAATGTGTAGATGAAGATGGACACTAGATGGCAGACTAGTTATTCAAAGCTCTACTTTTACCCATGTGCTTTCAAGGCTGTTGTTTTGTACAATTGTAAAGATATCTGAATACAATTAAATGCTTTGTCATTTACTTCAAAGTTTTTCTGCTTTCTTTCACAGTTCTGTCGTGTCATTTTTTTTTTTGACTCCGTTTGAGTCCCAAATGCTTTTAAATGGTCTTTAAAATATCATGCATGTCTAATGGACTGAGGATGATATTCATTCATCCATCCCTGGATTTTTTTTTTCTATTCTGCCTGAATGGTAAAATTGAATGAAGTGTTTGAGCTGGTGTCTTGTTTCCAAGACAAACATTGGCAAGCAAGTATTTATATGCTTCAAGTCGTCGTTATTAGCCTAAAGAAAAGACACTGGCCCCTGGGCTTTAGTCATGAGCTCTTTGAGGGCCTTTTAGCCTCCTATTATGTTTGTTCTTGTGACCCCTTCCCCCACACACTTCCATCCCTTGTTCTCTATTCAACACAGCACAGGGCTGCTGAGCAAGAAACAGGCTTAGAAGATCTCTCCTCTTCACATCCTCTCTGTTTATATCACATTTCCATGCCCACAAGACTAAACACGACCTGCTCTGAACTTCCGTGGCATAATAACAGTATTTGAGCTCGAACAAAGCCACGTTCACTCTCAATACTACGTCCACTGTGATCAAACACAGGCGTTTGGACAATCCCGAAAGAAAAGCTTTAACCGTTTCATCCTCAGCATTTTTCTCTGGTGTACATGTAGGCTGATTTGACTTGGCTTGTATTTAGTTTTCTCTGTTAATGTATATGGAGGTGGTTTAGCAGGAGAGTGGGGTTAAGCGTCAGAAGCACTGGGGGTGGCACAGCAAGAGGGATCGATTCTTATTTAGATGAAAATGAGGCTCAGCGCTTGTGGGCCGAGGGTGCATCTGCCTCAAACAGCTTTAAGAAGAATACCTATTCACAGTCAAGAGGGGGAAACACTATTCTCATGGTGGCAAATACTTTTAAATTAAACGTCTATTGACAAGGATTAATCTATGCACGTGGTGTGGTAGTTGTCTACGTTCGTATGGAGTAGAAATCAAATGGTCCTTTTGTTGCTGGGGATATTAAATCATTCTTTGTTTTCAGTTTCTGTCAGGAACTGGTTTGTATTGTTGTAAAAAATGTGATGAGCAGAACAGGTTCTTCATTAAACAATTAAAATACATTTCTGTATTATGCAAAATGGACATTTGGTCTCTTTACGGCATATAATCTACACACATATATATATATATATGTTTGACCCCCTTTCACCTTAATTATACGTGGCATTGATTCAACAAGGTGCTGAAAGCCTTCTTTAGAAATGTTGGCCCATATTGATAGGATAACATCTTGCAGTTGATGGAGATTTGTGGGATGCACATCCAGATCACGAAGCTCCCGTTCCACCACATCCCAAAGATGCTCTATTGGGTTGAGATCTGGTGACTGTGGGGGCCATTTTAGTACAGTGAACTCACTGTCATGTTCTAGAAACCAATTTGAAATGATTCGAGCTTTGTGACATGGTGCATTATCCTGCTGGAAGTAGCCATCAGAGGATGGGGACATGGTGGCCATAAAGGGATGGACATGGTCAGAAACAATGCTCAGGTAGGCCGTGGCATTTAAACGATGCCCAATTGGCACTAAGGGGCCTAAAGTGTGCCAAGAAAACATCCCCCACACCATTACACCACCACCAGCAGCTGCACAGTGGTAACAAGGCATGATGGATCATGTTCTTATTCTGTTTACGCCAAATTCTGACTCTACCATCTGAATGTCTCAACAGAAATCGAGACTCATCAGACCAGGCAACATTTTTCCAGTCTTCAACTGTCCAATTTTGGACAATTGCCTCTTTTTCCTATGTGTAGTGGAGATGAGTGGTACCCGGTGGGGTCTTCTGCTGTTGTAGCCCATCCGCCTCAAGATTGTGTGTGTTGAGGCTTCACAAATGCTTTGCTGCATACCTCGGTTGTAACGAGTGGTTATTTCAGTCAAAGTTGCTCTTCTATCAGCTTGAATCAGTCGGCCCATTCTCCTCTGACCTCTAGCATCAACAAGGCATTTTCGCCCGCAGGACTGCCCCATACTGGATGTTTTTCCCTTTTCACACCATTCTTTGTAAACCCTAGAAATGGTGGTGCGTCAAAATCCCAGTAACTGAGCAGATTGTGAAATACTCAGACCGGCCCGTCTGGCACCAACAACCATGCTACGCTCAAAATTGCTTAAATCACCTTTCTTTCCCATTCTGACATTCAGCTTGGAGTTCAGAAGATTGTCTTGACCAGGACCACCCCCATAAATGCATTAAAGCAACTGCCATGTGATTGGTTGATTAGATAATTGCGTTAATGAGAAATTGAACAGGTGTACATGCATGCATGTTTATATATAATGCATATATAATGTATGCAGTATACATACACGCGTGTATCTATGTATGTGCATATACTGTCTATATATATATATATAATGCATGTGTTTGTACATTTATATATATAGTAAATGTATATTGTATTATATGCAGTATACACAGAATATAAAATATAATATATAATACAATAAAAACGGTAATACATTACTGAAATATTTTAATATATTACAAAATAATTGTATATATGTATATATACACACACACACACACACACACATATAGTGGTACATTTTACCACTGGGCCACATTGTCCATCATTTAGGAAATGAAAGGAGAAAGATTGAAAAAAATATAGATTTACAATTACTCAAAATCTCACTGTGCGAAAGCAACACTATGATAACGAGTTCAGGTTACAGTTTGTTCTCTAATATTCTCATTCTCACTTCAGATTGATTAGTGTTAGATTGTAGCCGAGAGATCCGCTACGCGTCAGCATAAACCAGGACCACTTTTGTCCCATTCCTCTCTTTGCACACACATCATCAAACTCCCATTGAAATGCTCCAGGCTGAGTCTCTCCCCGCCATGTATCCCAGCAGCCATTCGTCTGAGAAGCCTGTCTTTTCTCTCTGAGTGATGAACTGCCCCAAAACGTCCACGTTTGCAAAAAAAAATTGGGACCACTTATTTTTAATCTGCTCTGTCCGTGCACTAGCTAAAACACATTGATTTAAATAAAGGAATGTTATACTTAGGCATTTATATGGACAGACATGAAAATATGATTAGATCATGAATAGGTTCATTTAAATTTACTTTGTAATCAAGAAAATAATCTTTTTGAACAAGTTCTCTTTTCTCCAAAAACAATCCTCTTAACATATGAATTTAAAAACCATCATTTTCTTAGACTACACATCTACACATTTAGATTCAATTTAAAAATTAGAAATCTTAACTCACTCCATATCCAACCCAATTGGTTTATTAATATAATTTTAAATGCTTTTAAGTTTTAAAACAGCTTGAATGTAACTCTACACCCCTGCCTCATTTAGTATATGTGGTTCTATGAATATGCAAATGAGCCCCGCCTCCACTCCCTCACACCAGCTCAGAGATCCACTGGTTGACGATCACACGTTAATCTGATTGGTAACAAGGTAGTTTGTGACACCAGAAACACCAGCGAATCAACATGGCATCATGACTTGCGTAAACTTGACTTGAAAGTCCCGTGTTATCTATACGCATTTTGAGCTATGCGCGTATGTCTATGCCGTTAAATGTCCGAGTGATTCCGTGTGTATGTACACTACACGCCGTTAAATTCCCGAGCGAAACGAAGCAAAATGTAGATCTACATCTGGGGAAACAATATTTTTTTTTCTAGGATGGTACGGGAAGACTCATAAATGCTATTAACTAGAGCCCGACCGATAAAGGATTTTGAAGGCCGATACCGATACAAATATAAATCCGATATTCCGATATATCGGCCGATATTTTTTTTTATTAAATATTGTTGGATTTCACGCACGTGTAAAAGAAAAACTAACTTTTCTGCACAAGATACGTTTGATACTTTTTCTCTATGTTTAAATGTTCACTCCTCGCAACTATAAGTTACGTTTTACAATGCAGGGACTGTAACTAGAGATATGCTAGTTATAAATACAGTAATCATTACTTTATTTAGACAGAAAAAGTTCATTGTGGTTTCCAAGCTCATTAATGTTAACGTTAGCGGTCTTCCACTGATGATAGTGGCATTAGCTAGCTTTGTGGTTAGCTAGTCTATAATTTAGCAAAAGATAACATCATACTGCAAATTGTAAAACATACATTTTCAATATAACAGGCCAATGAGAGATGATTGAAGCGTGTTTCGTCCATTTTTATTTTATTTTTTAAATATTCATTTATCGGCCATTATAACTGCCGATACCGATATTATGGAAAATGCCTAATATCGGCTGATAATATCGGCCGGCCGATATATCGGTCTGGCTCTACTATTAACCCCAGTGACGGGTAGGTTTAGGGATGGGGTTGGGTTAGGTCATATATTTATACAGTAATGTAACGTTAAGTCAACGGCGTTCATAAACACGCTGAAAAGCGATTATGCGTGTTGATAGCACGGCAAAAATGGAAATACGAATTTGCGTGTCATACATACGCCATTTCATGTGATCATTGACTTATGAATTTACACTTGGGTTGTCTTAAAGCGCATTAAAAACACCACATAGACATATAAACAACATTAAAAGCTTGATTTTCACCACAGGGGGACTTTAAACCATATCAGTTCCTTGAAGCATTCCTTGTACATTGATGCGACTCAAAAACCTATAAAAAACCTCAGACTTTAATGTTGTCAGAGGATATTTTAAAGTTATAGTTCACCCAAAAAATAAACATTGTCATCATTTACTCACCCATTCTGTATGTCGTTCCAAACCTGTATGACTTGCTTTCTTCTGAGAGACATAAAAGAATATATTTTGAAGATTGTTTTTTGCTGCAGGACAAAAGCCATGCGTAATTCAAAATGCAGCGAAACCAACCCATGAGAAAAATCAATATTGAACATTCCTTCATATTAACAGTACATTTGGACCCTATTTCTACAGGCTTTTCTTTGAGTGCACCTGTAGCTCCTAATTTACCCAAAGAGGTGTTTTAAAGCATTGTGTTGGGGAAAATAAAAGTAATGTATTGCGTTACTCCCTAAAAAGGTAAATAATTACATACTTTTTATGCAAAATAAATTGTGTTTCGATACTGCCACGTTACCTGGGCTGGGCTGTACTGCTTTATAATCCCAAATTTTTTTATTTTTTGCATTTTTGGCTAATTTAGACGCCCTTTAAGATCAAAAGTGACACGAATAAGCACCAGGCTGGACTTTTTGCCATTCTGGATCACAGAAGAAAGTTCAACCCTCATACTTCAGCAATAAAAACTCAAAAAAATGTGATGTTTACCTAAAGTCATTTTTGCTTATATTATTATGGTTGAATTGGATTAATAAAGGTTAATAAAGTGAGATTAAATACATTGTGTTATTTAATATATTTAACCATTGCAGATTTGCATTTCACTGTTCATTTTGTTCATTTAGAGGAATTGTGAATCTGTTTTCGTGCTGAATGTCATGGTCACATTTAGTCTACAACAACCATCACGTTCACAAAGAACGTCTCCGCATCTCCTGATTTCACTCAACATGGGGACAGAAGAGGTGTCAGTCTAAGAATTAAGACAACTTATTTGAAAACCTAAAAAAAGTAACTTCAATTTAGTTGTAAATTTAAAAATAATGCATTGCTTGTCACTTGAAAAGGTAATCTGATTATGTTACCTGTAATGCGTTTCCCTCAATACTGGCAGCACTATCAAACATTATGAATGTTGGTTGTACAACCATTCAGACAGGCCTATGTTTGATTTGCATAGCTATTTCATTTGAGTAATGGAATAGTTTGTGAAATGCGTTTCAGACATTGTGGTCACATTTATGGGTTAATTATGCTTTGTAAGATACACTGAAATGCTGATAATAAAACTAAACCCCTAAGTGTCTTCATGCAGGTTCCATTTCTTGGTTTAAACCGCCCTTACATAAACTTACCACGGTTTCACTACAGTAATGCTGTAGATTAATTCTAAATGTAACCTATTAGGGGAAGAAGGGAGTGAATCCATAAAGGCTAATTAATTCAACTATGAAATTGTAATAATCAAAATTCCACAGCTTGTGTAACCGAAACCAAATCACAGCAATACGGCGCCAGCCATTGTTTCAGCTCTGGTTACTATGCGCCTAAAAGTACAAATGCCATAGTTCAACTGTGGTAACTATACAAAAGTCGCTTACATGATGAAATTACAGCAACAGCATGCGGTTTGTTTGAAAGAGAGAGACGCGCAAGTTGTTTACTTGCCTAGGCGCGTGCGTGCGCGTCACTGGCGCCCCTAGAGGCTCCACACAGTAGCGGCTCTTTTGTGCGCGATGATGACGTACGCGCTCGTGTGTAGTAGCGTGAACGCGCGCAGTGGTGCGCTCGCTCAGAGGGGGAGAAAAGAGCCGCCGAGGAGGGCAGAAACACAAGAGAGGGGCAGTTTTTTTTTCTACCACAGCACCGCGGCTTGGGGAACAAACCAACTGTGTCGAGTTGGCTGGCATGGAGCTGAGCGTTGCCGTTCTGAGCCGTTTCGAGCCGTCCACCTAAAAAGCCGGGGCATTTCGGGGGCAGTTTGCTGTTGGTCCCGGGGGTTCGTGGAGCCCGTGTGAATCTGTTGCTAGCAGCGCTCGAATGCTAGTTAGCTCCGCTGCTAAGCAGCTAGCCAACACTGCGAATCAATTGTGTCGGAGATCTCGGATTTACGTTTAAAAGCGCTCGCGTTCGTCCGCTGCTCTCGGGATTCGTTTTGACCGTTGAGTTTTGTCTTTTTCCCAAGTGAGGAGACGTTAATAAGCGAACGCGTGAGTTTCTATTTCGATTTATTTTCAAGCAGGGACTTTTTTTCCTCCTCTCTATTAGCTTGTTAGCCGCTCTGGTTGGTTTAGTCCAGCTTGTTAGTAGTGTCTGAGATTTCTACTGTAATAGCTGTCAGCGACAACAGCCTCTTGACGAAAAGCCAGATTGTTGACATGAACGGTTTTATCGCGGACTGCGAGTTGTTTAGAGAGGCGATACTTTGAGATGCCGCGCGTGGGATACTTCATGTTTCCAGGGACGCTTTTATTTTCTTGTTAGACTGCTTTATGGGAGTGCTAGTGTGCAGCGTTTTGCTTTAGACAATACTGGTTTTTGCAGGAATTGCACGCGGTCTGATATTTTCTTTTTCCCCCCATGCAAACTAGTTATTCACCTTTTCCCATCAATCGCGCATCGTTTTGATGTGGTTAAATCCCACATTCCAGTCGCGCTCGCGTTGTTTTCTTTATCTAACGTTAGTGATTCCTTGAGCTCCACGGCTGTATTCACGCTGCTGGTGGTACATGGTCACCAAGACAGATCGCTGATACAGGTTTTCATTGGTTTGCGGTCGGGGAAACGGCGAGATTCGGCTTTAAAGTATTATGGATGAACAGACCCGAATGCTGGCTAGCATGGGCGGACTCGGCGGACTCTCTCAAGCCGACGTGGGTGACCCCGATTCGGTTCGGAAGCAGCAGTCCCTCGGTCAACCGCAGCAAGACATAGGGGATATTCTCCAGCAGATCATGGCCATCACCGACGAGAGCCTCGACGAAGCCCAGGCGAGGTAAGACCTGTGAGAGGATGGATAGATACTCTGAGAGGATAGATAGATAGATAGATAGATAGATAGATAGATAGATAGATAGATAGATAGATAGATAGATAGATAGATAGATAGATAGTGTGCAATAGCAGCTGGACACAATCTTCACCTCATTGCTTTAAATGCAGTCAATCTAAATAGCGGCAATTTGTCTCCTGAAAATCGTGTGAGAAAATGTCTTGCACCTTTTTCTTAATTTAAATCATATTTTATTGCATTGTCCCTTTTTAATGCAAGTATAACACAAGCTCACTTAAGGACTTGTTTATTAAGATTTCTACCAGATCATGTAAATGTTATAAATCTTGTGTGAAATCAATGGGGGTTTTCCCCCCTGTTTGCTTGGTTTTTGTTGTGTACTGTAGATATGCAACTCTTGTTTTTTTTGTAATTCAGTTTTTGCCAGGAATATAGCCACATGGCATTAAAGAAAACTATACTGATACTTTTCTTAATTTACGTTTGCGCATATTCTCACTAGAACTTGGTATGTTAATAGAGGAAAAAAGTGTGTTCATTTATTTACCACATTGTTGGATTTTACCATTTCAAGTTAAGTTCTAAATGAATTGGCATTCGGGGGAAAAAAAACCCCCGAATATGCCTTAAATGATCGGTTCATGAGCAATCCGAACTTTCTCATTGAAAGTTATTATAATGAAAAAGTTTTAATACTAGTAGTCCTTGTGTTTGTAATCCCAATGCACTAAATATGCTCCAAATGGATAATGGGACTATAATTACTAAAACCTAAGGATCCAAGTCTTTTCCCCCTCCTAAATGGGGCCAAAAAGGTTTTAGAGGTCAACCAATAGGTTTGTTATCAGGAGCCCATGGGCTCTGTGAAGCCATTTGGTCTTCAGCGTGCGTCTGCCAGATTGAGGCCCCACTAGATAAATGAATTGGATTAATGTGCTACCTCGTCATTAGCATAGATAATCAGCGCGCGCTTAATTAAGTCATCGCCGTCAAACAGTGTCAGACTTAACCTCAAGACGAAAACACCCGACAGGATTGACGACTTTCCCGCCTTTACCCGCAGATCCTCCTCGGGTACAGTTCAGTGTGTTTCTATTGACCGCACTGAAATTGATCTCTTATGGATCGCTAGATTGCGCGCTGTGACCTGCGATCTGTTGAAAGGTCAAGCCGAGCCACGGATCCCGCACAAAAGCTGCCTTTTAATGAGGGATCGTATGTGCGCGTATGCCCTGTGATGTGTCATTAGCTTGTGATTTTCCACCAAGCCATTTGACCACCTGGTTCTCTTAATTAATTCACTTCTCTTTTACCCTCCTCCTCCTCCCTGGTGTTCATCCTTTTCATTGTGTGTTGGGCGCAATCAATTCTCCTATAATGCGTGCGCGTGTGCAGCTGTCCACAAATTGTGTTTCTATTAATGAGATGGAGGGTCGCTACTCGAGCAACTTAGAAACCCAGCGAAATTGCCTTTATATCTATACCGCATTTCTTGGGCGATATTGTGTGGTGACTTTGTTTCCCTTGTACAAAAGAATGATGAGTTGAATGATGATGTTGTGATGGGTGTGCATGACTGTTTTAAGAGGGGTTTTAGGTATTTGGTTGAAAATAAAGCGATCAGCGGTCTTAAGGAATAGGGAATTGTTCACCTAAAAATTTCTTTTTCATTTTGCTGAGTAATGAAAGTGAACGGGGTGACCAGCAAGCTCAAAAAATGATAAAGTATAATAAATGTTGTCAATGTGACCTGTGCTTGAATCTCGAAGTCTCATGAAGTCATATTGCTTTGTTTGACGAACAGACCGAGATTGCAAACTCTCCAAAATTGTCATGGATGCCTAAAAACTATGCTTCTTGTAATAACATCAAAATTAAATGGTTTTGTTAAAGCCAAAAATATTATTGTCTACTTTTTTAGTAGGGGTGGGGAGTCACAGTGTACCTCACGATACGATACGATACAAGGCTCATGATACCGATAGTATCACGATACAAGCTAGACAATCCTATGATACGACATCTGTCTAACTATGAAAACACAATGCCTGTGAAAAGGTTCTTTAAGTGCGAAATGTTTTTCAGTCTGTAAATCAAATTTAACATTAAGTAAATAAAAGATTTTATACTTTTTAAAAGCTTAAACGTTTCGTACACTTACACCTTTACCCGCTTATCGACTTGTTGTTTTATATAAACCTGGTACATTTAAATTATATTTACCAATAAAAAGCACAAACGCTCCTGTGTGCATCTGTGTAATTGACCTATGGCTAAGCAACGCCCCCAAACGTTAGCCTACATTACAAATTGTTAACGTTAGCTTCTAGCTGCATTGTACATCATGTCACTTAGCTTCATTAACGTATCTGTAAATAACCTAGATAACTAAATGTTAACAATGTTGTGCTGAATGAGTCATGTAAATACTGTAGCACCAAACAGAGATGGCAACGATATGCGGTTTATCACGTTTACACTGTGACCTGTAAATTCTTGCCTGGAACTGAATCGACCTTCTCAACAATAAAAATTATTAATATAACCCTTAATGCATAGTTAAGGCCCTTTAGGTGACTTCAAAATGATATATAATCTTTCTGTCTCCAAAAATCATCAATTGCCTCCAGTGAAATGTCTCCTACTGTGACAGTCACCTACCTGTCCCCGATTGTTGACTGTTTGTCCGAGTGAGTGGAGGGGGCGTGGCTTAGCCATAGGTCAATTGCTCGGTAAATAGACCTTATTCAGAGCAGCGCCATGACGGGTATGAAAGTGAGGCTGTGAGGGATAGACTTGCCGTGTTTCCAATGGCATCCGCTGTAAAAAGCTGAATAAAGCTCCTAGATTACTTACAATTTTCCACAGCTTACTTTATCGTTAGTTTTTTGTCAACTGACATTTTTTTAGAAAGATGAAAGTGTTTCATGTGCAGAACAATCCGAAAACACATTAAATAACAGTACAGCCCATTGAAGAGATGCAAGTCTATCCCTCACAGCCTCGCTTTCATCAAAGATGGCGCTGCCGTGAATAAGGCGTATAGCGTCAAAGATGTCTCTTTACAACCTATTTGTCCCATCAATAGTATAAAATCAGAAGTGTGTTAAATGTGGCTGGGCATCTTTTATTTTTAGCACTAGCACTGCTGTCCGCCATCCGGTTAAAAACTCTTTTTCGTAGGCTAGTTAACTTATGTTCACGTTAATTCTACGTTAATATGGACAAACCCAAATGTTGGGTTAAAAATGTAATTCAAAAATATACTGTTGAAAGTGAAAGTTGAAGATTTTAAATTAAATTTGTAACCCAACATTTGGGTTTGTCCATTTGTGTTCAAATTTGTGTTAAAACAACCCAGAATTAGCATTTTGCATAATTGCAGCCTTTTTTATTCATTAAAATATCAATATTTGGCGCCAGCGTATAGGTTCCCCGTATCGCATTCGCACAGTGAAGGACATGGATATATCGTCATATCAATATTTTGTCCCTAGTTTTTACCATATACAAAACAAGGGTACATTATGCTGACTTGCAGTTTGAAATTGACAATGTAGGCCTAAAAGTTAGGCTCAAAAGAAGGAATACCCTCCGTTCGTATAACATGAAACATTTCATTCAATTTTTGAAGGGGAGTCCGAAAATGTTTTTTTTTTTTTGGTTAGTTTTGTTGCAAGGATTGTCATCGTACCCAATAAAGATAACAAAATAGTTTTTTAAAAACTAGAAAATAGGTAGAAATGCCTCCTTAATCTATGCAGATGCTATTCTATACTGAAAGGTACATTGCAAAAATGTTCTCAAATCTGGAGTCTCTGCATCTTCAAACTGGCGTGAAGATTTGCCACAGCATGTGTCATGTTAATGATGCCAAACTCTATAAATTCTTGTCTTTCATAGCTGGTCATGGCAAGTTTAAATATGCAGAATCAAATTTGAGAGGAACGTTTTTGAACCATATGGAAAAAGGCGGTGTAAATAAACATTGTTCAAAGCTGAGTAAATGACAGAAACGTGTTTTCTTTTTTGGTGAACTATTCCTTTAAGCATAATGCAAGATATGGATAGTGATGGACATAAATGCATTTTCTCTTTAGTCACTTCTTCTCTGTCACTGATATTCTACAGTTATTCTTGAGTATAAGCCCTTGCCACCTTCAGTTATGAAGCAAAGAAGCCCTTCGGTGCTTCCGCACAGACCTGAAATGGTTCAGATACCTGAGAGAAATATGCATTATTATTTTGTCAAGTGCGGGATGGTTTTAGGGCAGATAAGCCAGCTTCATTTGCGGAGTGGAGAGATTGTACCTAGTGCGGTCAGCAATCTTGGACATTATGAGATGTATTGGTTTTCTTTTTAATAAACAGATTTCCTTTATTTGATACTAATGAAATATGCACGGTTGTGGTATCTCATTAAATGGATTTGTGGCGCATCACAATGCCTCTTAAATTAATTGGTATAATGTGTCCCAAACCTGCATTATTTGCTGAGTGGAGGCACATGCATTGCTCAGAAACAAGCAAAGAGAACGTGGTTCTGGATTGCTTATTCATGGCATGCTCAAAAATAAGTGTAATGCACATTCACAAGACTTGCTTTGCATTGGTAGATAAGGTCAATTGAATTGATTGGCTAGATTACATCAATCAGAAAAGAGCTAGCTAAGCATTTATAAAAGCACTTTCATGCATACGTCCTAATTCATTAAGTAGGTTTGTATTATTTATAGATGTGAGATTTCTTTGCCTAGTTAGGGTTTTTGTTTTTCGACATCTTGAACATTTTCTTTTGGCAAAAATCAGACTTGTTCTGATTCCATATACTTGATTTCTGTTTTCTATTCTTCTCTTGATCTGCATTATTTACTGTGGGGGGTCTCTGGTCCCAGTTTAAGGGGTGGGATGTCATCGGTGGGACGGTGGGGGCAGATGCCAGCGCTGTCTGTGCCTGCCGCCCTCAGCCTCTCACCCTGTTGCCCTGTGTCCAGATGCTGGCCAGAGGAGGCACCGGCGCAGTGGACCCCACAGAGGGAGGGGGAGCTGGGGGGGAGCACAGCAGGGTGTGCCCTGCCGCTCAACTTCCAGCACAGGTCAGTACAGGAGCGCATGAGCACCCCCTCCTCTTCTCTCCCCCATCATCCCCTCCATGTTGATGACAAAGAGAAAAATGCACTCTCATACAGTTAAAGAAGCACTTCAGTGGGGCTAAACCTTTTGTTTTTATTTGAATTATGCGATTGCTTCTTAAAAGAACCAAATTCAGACCCTTTTGAATTGACCAAAATGTGAATCAAGTTCTTTTTTTGCATTCACGTTGTCCCTGGTCCTAAAAATGGGCTTTTAGTCGGGGCTGTTTTAGTTGTGATTAGTCTACTCTTCAATAACCACTTCAATGTTTTATTGATTTTTTTTTTTTTTTTTTCCTCCCTTTACATTTTATTTATTATATCCTTATTAAATTGAATAATAAAATATTCAATAATAAAGTAAGCAGCTCAGATGATGCCTACATTTTCACAGGAAACTAGGGCTGTCAAACGATTAATCGCGATTAATCGCACCCAAAATAATAGTTTGTGTTTACATAATATATGTGGGTGCACTGTGTATAATTATATATACATACATATACAAAATAATTATACACAGTCCACCCACATATATTATGTAAACACAAACTTTTTTTGTATGCGATTAATCGCAATTAATCGTTTGACAGCCCTACAGGAAACTAAATTAAAACATTTCTTTTGCTGTTTATTTAACAATAGATTAAAAATATGCCCCTCGTTATCTCTAGAAATGAGAATAAGTGACTTATCTCCTTGTTTGTTTCATTGCATGTCATCATTCTCTTTGCATAGTAACCTTTAATGGCCAAAATATTTCTGATTATGTGCATGAGGAGGTAAAGTAAACCCGATGGACGCCTTAAAGTAAAGCAAACTCAAAACGCCTCATGAGATGGTTTTCGTTTTAAAATTAGTTTGTATAAAAGCCACATATATTCACCCACTCTTAGGCCAAGAGAACCAAACGCTCTTAGATTTCACATAATACAATTGATAAAAAAGATCATCCACATGTCACATCCCAGGAAAGATTTTGGTTGCATCAGTTGTCTTTTCATGATCACCCATCCATTGAGACAAGTTTAGGTTTCTGCTTGTACTACCAGTTGTGATTCCTTGATGTTTTTGTGTTTGTCTTGCTCATATTTGCAAAAAGAAAGAAGCGATCTATTTTTACCTTTAAATGTTTGTGCCTCTTGCAATGAATTCTACATACCTGAAATATTTGGGTGTGAACGCGTCGAAGCCAACAAAGAAGATTTTAGGCTGCGAATGAAGTCTTGGAAGCTAACTTCAGATTTACTTCAAGTTGGATAATACTCAAGACAATTGGAAAGCAGGCAATGTGATAAGACATGCTAACTAATCAACGCTAACCGATTCAGCATTGCCCAAGCTTGTGCCGTTGCCCATTTCCAACAAAATTACCCAATGAGTTGCACTGTGTGTCATCAGCTATAAGGCCTCATCCACAAAAAAAAATCTTTTTTGGGGATTTCCCACGTTATCTGTTTGCCTCGGAGCAAAAGGGAAACATCCTAACTTTGTTTAGTTGCGGCCAACTGCAATATTAGGTAGCGAGTGCTGTTGAGTTCAGGACTTTCTCATAAAAGATTATTCAGGGTAGTTGGAGGGCTGAAATGCAGTGCATTTTTTGATATGCAATGCCGAGAGAGTATTTTTAAGTGTGTGTCGCATGATTTGTGGGTTTACCATTTCAATCCCAGCTGTTAGTTGGACGGCTTTAACGAAAACACCTCGATTATTGGCATTTGTTCGGGGTTAACGATGCTCCTAGAAAGCATGCTTCATCTGCTCTCTAATACAGTAGCGCTGAAATCTGGCTGCGTGTAGATAAGCTTCCCCGGCATCAGAGCTCACCGAGCCTGGAAATAAAGTTTGCTGATGGGAGACTGCCCTGAAATGATCGATGATTGGATTTAGCACATATGATTCTGGCTTTGAGAAGAATGTTTCCTCTGCGAGACAGAGGGTCCTCGCTTGTTTTGATATTCTCCAGACCTGCTCGATAAATTAAGCACGTTCGGGGTGTAAAAAGGGCTGGATAATACCATTAAAGGGTGGAATGCTTTTCCCTGAAGACAAATGAGGACCACGTGTCAGTTACTCATTTAGCCGGAGTGAGCCGAGACTGCTGCTGTATCTTCTCAATCTACAGACACTGAGCTTTTTAAAAGACTCGCGTTTTAGTGTGTCCATTACGTCCTGATTGATTCTTGAGTAGATGTTTGCACCTGTGATTGTAATCATATTCTGCTGCGAATGTTAAAGGTTGTTGTTGGTATGTCTTCAATAACCATAAATCCTCTGGTTTGTTTGGCAGCGAAACGACGTGTGCTTTAAATTGAGATTTTGAAGAGTCTATCATTAATGATTCTCTGAAAAACAATGCTTAACCAATAGCTATAGAGCAGAGTCAATGAAAGGATGGCGATTGAGAACACTTATAGTGCTTGATATGCTCAAAATTCACAAAAATGTGAAGCCATCATTGGGTTTTGTGTATGTTTTCTATTGATCGTGGCAGCAGTAGTTCAGCAAATGAAGTGTTGTAGATGCATGTCTGTTGAAATGTTGTAAAGATCGTGGTAGATGGGGAAGTGGATTTTGCACATTGTATTTGGAAAATTTTGTGCCATGACCTTATTTGAATAATTTATTTAGCCTATCAGGCACTCAAATAACACACGTACACACAAAGTATGTAAATAAATGGCTCTGTCATTGGCCTTGAATTTCCCTCTACGGATTTATTTCTTATTGGTAGATTTCAAAACGGACAGAAGGGCAATTTGTTAATTGGGCACAGATGCCAATAAAGTTAAAATGGCCAAATACTGATCGATTGGTCGGTCTTTCACTGTTTGAAATGAAATCTAATCAGTCTCTCTCTAACGCTTTCCTTCTCTCTTCCAGAAAACACGCACTGAACTGCCACAGAATGAAGCCGGCTCTCTTCAGTGTTTTATGCGAGATCAAAGAAAAAACTGGTAAGTCGTTCGCTTGTGTTGTCAAGCCGCACTCCCACATTTCGAGGAGATCTTTTTCATTACGCTGTATTGATTCTGCATTGACCATATGCAGAGACAGGTGTTTAATAATCATCAGTCTGAATGTATCGAGTCCCCGTGCTTTCTGCGTCAGTAGGGTTCCTCTGGGCTTTCCAGGTGTCTTATTGTATCGCCCACTGCAATCATTAAGTGTCATAGCAATGGGTTCAATGTTTACAATGTGTGAGATCTCACTTGAATGCATTTCAGAGCTTTGAACTGGCAACAAGTGCATCTGCTTCACTCTCGTTGTTGCTTTCTCATTGTGAACCCAGTCCACACCATCCATCCCGGTCCGAACAGGTAACGGCTCTCGCATCTCAACTCGGAGATCCACAGTGGTCAGTTTTCTGGCAGATCTGCAGCTTTCCCTGCTCAAACGAGAGGCTGACAAATGATTAAATATTTATGGAGGTGTTGGCGTTGTCTTTGTGCCATGGTTTCTCTCGTTTCTTTCCTGTCATATCCTGCAGCTTGAATCCATCTCGGGTTCTGTAACAAGCATGCTCATGTGGAATTACAGTGCAAAAATGATGTGCAACGGTCTGTTTGTGGCAATCTGTCAATAACCCAGTCTTACTTTCCTATAATTGGATGCAAGTAAAGGGTAGGCTAGAGGAATGGGTATTGGGGGTTGTCCCTGTTGCCAAGGCAACCTGCTGTCTTATTTACCTAATGTCATTCACTTTGATTTTCACATTTAGCCTGCCAGTGGAGAAAGGGCCGGGGAGAAATGCAGCACTAAATGGAAGGTGTTGTCGGCAGTGCAGACAGGCGAAGTTAATGGTCAGAATTTTTCCATATATCACTTCGGTTATCGCCAAACTTAATCTAGAATTCGTGTTTTACCCTGAAGACTTTGCCGTAAATGAGCTGATTTACTAGATGACAGGAACAAGGCCATTAGTGTCTGATCCGAGCCGTGGTTTTGCGTTTAAGGCCTGTTTGTGGCAGTTTCGTTGCGACAGGATTATTTTTTTGCACCAAAACTTTGCAGTAAATGATGGAATCCTCAATTCAGTTATATGTAATTTATATTATATACATGTAATATCTTGTCTGAAATCTATTAGGGGTGGAAGAAAAATCAATTCACATATTAATTGCGATTCTATCTTCTGCCGATTCACAAATTAAAAAATCGATTTTCTTTTTTACACTTCTTTAACCTCGCAGTGTATATTAAAAAAAAAAAAAAGTACCTCGGACACAGCCAAAGATGCATGTGATCTCGAGTTCTCATTCACAGCTTATTGCGCTTGAATGGTCAAATACACAAATGATTATGTAAAAATGCACACCGTGTGAAGTATTGACATAAATGCAGTCTGTTATGTCCTACGTGAACACAAACAGTTGGGAGCAAATCAGTCGTTTAACATTATATTAGATCTGTGCATTTGTTCTTAAAGGGACAGCAGCCTTAAAAAATGTTGCTGACTGTTTTGGGAATTTAATAAAAAAAAAAAAACAGAAAATCACTCACTGTTTTTGTCTGAATCACTTTTGTATCTTAATTATGAATAAATTAAATTTAATCGTAAAGACTCAATTTATATACCATCTAGTGAAGACTACTATTTTATTTTTATGTTTGATTCAATCACACATGTGTTAGGCTAAATAAAATGAGGCTACTATATCTGAAAAACTATTTTATTTTCCCTATTGTTGATTTATTTTCCAGCATTATATTTGCAAAAGTTTTTATTTTTGTATCAAGGAATTTATTTACAAAGTAAGCTGCCTTGCAGTCATTACACACACGACTGGTAGTCTTCTGTAATAAAGTAAGTTAGCTTAAATTTGTTTTATAATAATGGGTTGACTAAAATAACAGTTTTGGGGGAAAATGAAACCAGATCCCACCTGCGCATATGCAACTTCTTTCCACTTGACCCATACGTATGAAAATATCTGAGACCGAGGCCGTGGATTCTAATCTCTATCCCCCGGTGGGGGAAAAAAAAGTTAAAATTTGTAGTGTGGGAAGACTCTGGGTTTCCAAAAAACGAACGTGGGTTGTCCTTGAAGATGGATAATCAATTGTGTCCAGAAATGTGGACGAAGAGTGGCTGCAAAAGGCGGAAGTACCTCGAACATGTTGTCCCATATTCGCGAACACCATAAAGTTGAGTGCAGATTAAGTTAATTCCATTTATAACTTAAGGCCGTATTGTAAAAAAATATAGCTGTGCAATAAATCAAATCACTATATGCGTGCGTCTATGAATATACAGCGTAAAAGACTGCTATATTGAAATCTATATGTTCTGTGTGTCTGTGTGAATGAATGTGCAGCGCTGTTTTGCCTAGTAGCCTACATACTGGAGTATGTGTAACGCTCATGGTGTTTAAAGCGTCTGCCGTCTCACTCACTATACGAGAACATATCCAGAGCTGCTCTGAGAGAACTTAATGAGCATTTCATAAGTTTATTTATTTTAGTTTATGCTGCTATGATAATCTCAGGAAAATATAAACAAACATGGCCCTGGACTTTTTGTTCTTCCATTTATGCTGTCCAAGAAGAAGGGCAGTTTAATCTAAAGAGAAATAAGTTATTCCTTATTTTGTTCAAATGGGAGATGTGCAGCTGTATTTTGTTTCTTTCTTAATTTTTCAAAAGGTAGACTCGTATACTTCATATACTACTTTTTTGATGTTTTTATCATATAAGAAAGTTTGAACTATATGTTCAACCAAAGAAGATCTGCATTCATTCATTTAAGGGCATTGTAGCTGATGATGATTATGATAATGACTGTTTAATAATGGATACCGTGAAACCGTGATTTTCTGAGACCATTATCATACCTTGAAAATCTTTACCTGTTACGTTAGGGATGCATCGATATGAAAATTTTGGCCGATACCGATAACCAATATATTGGCCGATAAATCTAAATCCACATTTGTATATATTTTCGAGAGCCTGATTACAAAAACAAAAGTCTCATCATTATAATCCATGTCCCAAACACACACTTATAATGTTCCCATTGACTGTATTTTCACTGTATTTTCCTTTTTTACAGTGATTCCAATCCTATTTCAGGCAATTCAGAATCATCTTGTTGAACAGTGCGCATCTGAAGCTTCTCAGCTGAAGGAAATAATATTTTATTTATTAACTTTAATATATCAACCAGATTTCCTTATCGGGCCGATAATGATAACATTAAAAATGATTATTTATCGGCCGATACCGATATGGTGACCGATATATTGTGCGTCACTAGTTACAACTCTATTTATATCAATTCGATTTTTTTTCTTCTTCGAGACTGCAGTCAAATTGGAAAATAAAAATAAAACCCTAAACAAAATCAAATCTGTGCATAAATCTGATCGATTTTTAATCGAAATGTGAGGTACCGAAAGAAAATTCGAAATGTATTTACAAAAAGTTATATCTTTGATTTTTATTCATTTAATAATGGAGCCAAATGGTTTTCATAATGTTGCCTGTTCTACATTGATCCCATGAAGCATTTCTTGTGCTTCTGTTCACTGGCGAATGTTTAAATATTTAAATATATACATTTTAGTGGTATATAATCCTCCCTCTGCATGCACCACAAAGCTTTGTGAAAATTTGGATGTTATGTTCAAAAATTTTAACCACAAGAACGAGGTGCTTGTTTTCGGTGATTTTAACATAAATTGGATGGATAAACAATGCAGGAAAAAACTGAAAATTCTTGCATCCAAACATGATTTTATTCAAATGATTGAAACCCCAACGCGAATTACCAGGAAGACTCAAACACTGATAGACTTAGTCTTTGCTAATAAACCTGATAGAATCATAAAAACATATAATTTAGTTACTGGTCTATCCGATCATAATATGATTTTAACTGCAAGAAAATTGACAAAGAAAAGAACAAATAGATTTTTAAATTCAAATAAGAACGTATATAAATTTGAAATTCCTCGTAAGAAGCAGATTGAATTTGAAACCGAGTTAAAGAGTGTTAACTGGGATGAGCTTCAACAATGTGATCAAACAAATAACTACTGTGATAAATGTATGTCCACTATTGAGAGCATTGTCAATAAATACACTAAAAAGCAAAAGAAATCCCAGAGAAAATATCAGCTACCATGGATGAACGATAACATTAGAAAAACGATGAAAAAAAGAGACTTGGCTTTGAAAACTTTTATTAAGACCCGAAGGGACATAGATTTTAAAATATTTAAAGGTTTGCGTAACCAAGTTATAAAAGAACTTAGACTGTCTAAATCAAATTACTATATTCACGCCCTAACAGAGGTTAAAGGGAACGGCAAATTAATGTGGAAAAAGCTAAATAGCCTACTAAATCCAAAAGGTAACTTCACCCAAACAAAATATGAACTTAGAAAGGATGAAAACACTATTACAGATAGCACACAAGTTGCTAATGAATTTAATACCTTTTTTGTACAATCCGTTGACAACTTAGCATCAAGCTTCCCAAGCTGCATTAATACAGGCTTGACAACAGTATACGTGCCTGAAGATCAAGCCAACTCATTCCAGCTGAAGGAGGTCGATCAGACAGCTGTTTTGAAAGCCATACAGGGCCTAAACACCTCCTTTTCGAAAGATATTTTTAATTTAGACACAGTGTTTCTTAAAAAATATAGCAGCATTTTGGTCCAACCTCTTACAAACATTGTTAATATTTCCATCAAATCCGGACAATTCCCAGATGGGTGGAAAAGTTCCCTGGTAACACCGATTTTCAAATCAGGAGATGACAAAATGTCTTGTAATTATAGACCTATTAGTCTTCTTCCAGCTTTGTCTAAAGTTTTAGAAAAGATTGTTTCAGAACAACTCATTCACCATCTTGAGATAAATCAATATCTTAGTCCCCTACAATTTGGATTCAGGAATAACCATTCCACAGAGTCTGCAATCTGTCTACTAACTGAAAATATCAAAC